ACTTTGGGCCAATCACCCGGTCATGGTGAGTTCTAGTTTTGTCTTAGACAGGAAAGCCAGCTGGATGACTTTGGGCTAATCACCCAGAGATGGGAAGTTCTAGTTTTGTCCTAAGTTGGAAAGCCAACTGGGTGATTTTGGGCCAATTACACAGAGTTGGGGAGTTCTAGTTTTGTCTTAAGCAGGAAAGTCAATTGGATGACTTCGGGTTAGTCACCAGATGATAGTGAGTTCTAGTCCTGCCTTAGCCATGAAATCCGTCTGGGTGACTTTGGGACAGTCCGTCCCACCTCACAGGGTCGTTGTGGGGAAAAAAATAGAAGAAATAGAATAGAAATATGAAGGTCTTTTGGATATATTCACCCCCTTGAGTTATTTGTGAAAATAATAAGGCGGGATGGAAGTCAAATAAATCAACAGGGAAAAGGCGTGATAGCATCAACACATGGGAATCCATGTTCCTAAAGGGAACTTTTTATAATAATCAAAGCTTTTTTTGGCAGAGACCCTGCGAATGTGCTGGGCTTCCCAACCCCCAAATCCCAGTGATGCTGAGTGGAAAAAAAATCTATTTTTCCCCCCACAGGAGTGCACCAATCTTTGCTGTAATGCCCAGAATTGCACGCTGAAAGCCGACGCGGAGTGCGCCCATGGAGAATGTTGTAATTCCTGCAAGGTAATAAAAGGATAATGTGGGCCAAGGCTGTGGAGCATGGGAACCCTTGGGGCCAAAGCAGTGGTGGTATTCTACCAGTTCAACCCAGTTCAGGTGAACCGGTAGTAAAAAAATGCTACCATTCGGCTGAACCAGTATTGATTTCTTTTTTTTGCCGACGATCAGCTGTTCTGATGATCAGCTGTGCCGGAATCCCCCTTGCTGTCTTACTGCTTTGCTCAGGGGGCAAAAAAAAATAATAAAAAATGGAGCGCGGGTTGTGTGTGTGTGCTGCAAAAAAAGAGGAAGAAGCCACGCCCACGCAGTCACATGACCATGCCCACCTAGCCACTTCTACCTAGCCATGCCCACAGAACTGGTAGTAAAGAATATTTGCATCCCACCCCTGAGCCAAAGGGTCTGACTTGATTTGGGAGGAAGTGGAAACGGGAGCGTTCAGTACAGATAGTCCCGGTTTAGCGATCACAGTTGGGAGTGGCAACTTGATCTTTAAGCAAAACTTAATTAACAGTGTTCCTTCGAACTTTCCTTGGCTTTACGAGACCTGCGAAGGTCGTCAGTGCGAGAATTGGTTGGGAAAGTGACTTTTTCATCTCCGTCGCAATTGTGAACATAACCAGGCGGTCGCTAAATGAGGACCGTCTGTCGAGGACATTTGCAATGAGAAAAAAAATAAGGCCTTTCCTTATGTTATATTATAATAATAATAAGATGGGTTATAAATAAACAAATGAAGCAATAAAAAATAATAAAGTAACTACTTGAACTCATTAAAAATATATTTTGGGATCGATTAGGCAGGAGCTGTCTTCACCCTCTTTCTCATACACAAACTCTCTGAAATGAATTGTCTCTCGCTCCACTGGAATGCGGCCCCCTCCCTGCTGGGAATCCAGACTACATTCCCCCACAATCTATCTATAAAAGCGAAAGACCACTCATGCATCATCCCAAAATCTCCAGAACCGTCAAGCCTACAAACTTGAAATTGGGCACGTCTGTTCCTCTTGGCTCCTAGGTGCTCACTAAGAAAGGATTTTTCCAAATGACCATCAGAGCATTTAGTATTTCTTATATTATTATTAACACGCTCTGATGCTAAGGAGTCCTACTCCCCCTCCCCACCTGAAAAAAAATATATCTTCCAAATGCAAAACACAAGCAGAGGAGTTTCAGTTTTAGCACCAAGCAGCTTTAGTACAGAACAGTTGAGCTAAGCCACGCCCAGGCTCCTTGCTGTCTCCTTCTTGCTCACCCAGCAAATACTCTTTCAGTTTCCAAACAGCCCTCAACTCTCTCTCACACACTGACAGGATGCTAGCCA